TTCTGGGCACCTGCCTGGCCCCGTCCGGAACCTCCCAGGGTCAGTGGTCATTTATACTGGGATGAGCCCTGTCACATGCGGGGCACTGCCGACACTGTCTGCCCCTCCCCGCTTGTGTTTTTACTGAAGACGTCCCAGAGCTTGTCACGGTCGCACCACAGAGGCCTGGGCTAGGATTTCCACTTGGGCCTGCACTCCAGGCCCCTCCGATGTCCCGGCAGGTTGGACGGGGAGGGGCAGCAGCCCCAGCCTCACCGCCACGTGTCACCTGCTCCTGGGGTCAGCAGTGTACATCACGCTTCTCCTGTGCTCTCACACGCAGCGAGGAGGAGCAGGCCCTTGTCGGACGCGGGACCAGGGCTGAGCCTTCCTGAGGATAGGAGCCTCCCGAAGGCAGGGGTGACTCCTGCCGTGGCTGGGGTGAGTGCTGGCCGCGATGGGGAGGGGTGAGGAAGCAGGAGAGCAGCAGCGAGTTCTTGGCACCGTCTTGTTGATGAGGCCCAGTCCTGGGGTCCCGGTGCCAGGTGAGAACGAGCCTGGCTGAACCTGCAGCAGCAGCGCAGACACAGCCCCAGTGCTGACCATGACCCTGTCCTCCCATCCTGCTTAGCGTGCTCTCTCTAGCCAGTGCTGCCAGAGGCCAGAGGCCAAGCAAGTAGCAGACTCCTGGAGGCCCCAGCCAGGGTCCCACTCTGCTGAGCCCAGGCCCTGGGCAGCCAGCAGATACCTTGGCATGTAGGGAGTGAGTACTAGTGAGTGGAGAGGCAGGAGGGCAGGAGGCCGGGGACCTGGAGCAGGGGCGGAGGAGCATCCCCTGTCCAGGGTGCAGACAGAGTGCCCAAGGATGGGGGAGGGCAGATGAGCCCCCAGGGTGTCTGTGCTTCAGGCCAGGGGAGAAGGAGCCACCGCCCAGGAAAGATGCAGCGTCAGGCAGGGGCATGGGCATGTGTGGGAACAGGCATGGGCACTGCCAGCATCAGGCACCTCAGAGTTTGGTAGCTGGGCCGCCCACATGGGTAGGGGCATCCCTAGACCTGTGCCAGGAAGGGCTGGGCTGGGCGGGCCTTGGCAGCTTGCTGCAGTAGAGGCAGGGGTAAGCCAGCCAGGTCCAGGTGTGTTTGAGAAACCGTGCCAGGCAGCTGCGCGGGTGACAGGCAGCCTGGTGCAGATGCAGGGCCCAGCCCAGGGGAGAAGACGTCCTTGTCAGAGAAGCCAGGAAGGGATTGTGGGGCAGGCTCAGCTGGAGCCAGAGCTCTCCAGGGAGAGGGACAGGAACCCAATGGGGTGAGACACTCAGGTCTGGACAAGGGGAGGCCTGGACCAGTGTGACTGGACAATGCCAGGGCCCCCCGCATGCTGGAGGAACAACCCCAGGGTGAGGGCTCTGGCAGGTGACCCCAAAATGCACAAATGGGGGCAACAGCCAGGGAGGGAGGGGCCTGGATGTGTCATCGGGCAGGGTTTGGGTGCAGGCTCGGCTCTTCAGTGGTCCTGAGTCAGCTATTACCAGGGTGATGCCGGATTTTACAGCCATCACCAGCACAAACCAGTGACAGGGAGGCCACTTGGATGGCTCTCGAAGCTGCCATGGGCACCTGCATCTGTACCCCTGGAAGATGTCGCTGATATTAATCAGGTCTTCTGGGTTTTGAGACAGGGTCCCAGCCTGTGGCTTAGGCTGTTCTTGAACTCACTATGTGGTGATCCTCCTGCCTCAGCCTCCAGAGTACAGAGCTCGTAGGTGTGCACTGCCACGGCCAGCTTCCGCCCTCTGTTAGGAGATATGTTTGCAGAATTTCAGACAAGAGGCAGGCTATTTTCTTGGGGCATCTGGGAAGGATGCTTTGAGCTTCTCCCTGGAGAATTCACTCCTTCAACTCCCGCAAGGTCTCCACCGACAGGTCAGGCTGCCCTGGGCGAGGGGGGTGGGTTTGCTTTGGAAATCAGCACCAGGAGTTACCAGCCAAGCAGTGGTTTGATCCTCTTCCTTTGCATGTTATTTTCCCTCTGGCCGGAGACTATTTTTGTTATTTCCAGCGACAGTGATGCACAAACATTGCAAAGCAGTGTCTTGAAAATCACAAAAGCTACAGTGAATTTTGCCCCGTATAAATATGGCTGTGGCCCCTCCTCGATGGGGTGACTGTCTCCAAAACCAGCCCAGACCAAGATCGACCCTGGGATCTCCACACAGCCGGTTCCAGCCCCTGTCCACAGGCAGAGTGACGGGGGGGGGGGGGACACACACACGACACCTCAGAAGAGGAGGGCAGAGGCCTGGACGAGGAGGTGAGCCAGGAGACTCTTCCAAGTCTGGACTGTGGTGACCAAGCCCTGTTGCCATCGTGTGAGTATCTGGAGCAAATCCTAAAGTGGGGCCAGACGCTTGGCCCCAGTTGCATTGCTACCTCCCGGGATTGGGATTTGGGCTGAATCCGGACCTGACCTGGGGGTGCAGAGGGGCTGCCATCCTGGGAACCGCTGAGCGTCAATACCGCCGCCTCCCACAAGGGGGCAGTCACATCCCTTCCTGTGATCCTGGGTCCCTCCCCGGTATTCACATTTTAGGTAATTGCAATGAAACTCCAGGACGCCTTGGAGGGGAAGTGGCTGAAGAGATTTCAAATTTCATTTGGGAGGCGTAGGATGGCCGGGAAGTGGCGGATGGTGGGTCTTGCTGGGGGTCCCGGCCCCTTCTCTGTAGGCTGCCATGTGTCCCCGGGGTGGTACAGGGTGCACCCTTGAGACCACTGGGGCATAAGTGACCATCAGCAGGACGCCCTGGGCGGCTCTGTCTGCAGTGGGAAATCTTCCGAGCAGTCATTTCCCTAGGAACCTGCCTGAGCTGACGGTTCTCAGAGAGCACTGCACCTTGATTACTTTGATTGCTGGTGAGTATGCTTGCTCAGTGTGACTGAGACCTGAGCAAAAACATCAGAGAGCCTGGTCTTTATCTGGAGCCCAAAGGTGCAGTGTGTCCTCCTCCTCTGCCTGGCTCCCCTGGGCCTGGACCCTCTGACTGCCTGTAACACTCCTACCCACTTAGCTGTCTGTAATAATAGGGTCCCAGGGGGTGCATCTTTGTGTCTGGAGGTCTGGATGCTTGACCAACGTCACTGCCCCCAGGTGCCAGGCTGGGCAGGGACCAGGCTGAAGTCAGATCAAGGGAGGGCAGCAGCCCTGAGGCCTGCGGTCTCTGAGAGGCCCCTAGAATCAAGCCCTGGGTAGAGGGGCTCATTTGTCCTCACTGTGCCGGACAATGGACAGTGGACCCCACCACCTGGGGGCAGGTGGCAGAAGGCTACAGATGCCCCAGGAGGGACTCCTGTCCTCCTCTTGCCGGTCCCCTGCCTAGGACACGCCATGGCAGGAACCAGGGCCTGGTGGGCTGGGAAGACAGTCATCGAGGTCCCCAGGACCCTTCCAGCTTGGGGACAGGAAGGGCCTAGAAATGGCGGGCGCCTATGGCAACCGCAAGCCACTCAGGAGCAGTCTATAGAGGAGCACCAGAACACAGATGAGGGTCGGAGCTGGAAGTAACAGGCGCTAACATAAACAGATGCGAGCACTGGGTCAGGTACGGTTACAAAATCAGCGAATTCTTTTCACATCACTGCCAGGGGCCCCAGGATTTCCTCCGTCTCAGCCCCGCAGTGGGGATCCTCCCCCGCGCAACACCCCCTCCTCGCCCTGGACGGTGCCCCCCCCCCCAAGAGCTGGGGAAACTTCGGAGGCGGAGTTCCGAGGCACGTGGCTTTCTCCAGGTGCTAATCCAGCTCTTCCCGCCCTGGCCCGGCCAGCTGGCTGGGTGCAAGGCGGAAAGCGCTGGCCAGCTGTGAGTCCACAGGCTCAGGGAGACCTCAAAGCCTGGTGCCTACACCCGCCGGAACCGGGCCAGCCCTGCTGCCCAGAGCTCAGCGAGCAAACATGCGATGACGGTATTCGGGTTCCAGAGCCCGGAGAGCTCTCCCCTGATCCCATGCCCTTCAGGACGCTTTGATTTACGGCAGGCAGCAAGGGCTGGCCAAGGTCCCGGGAGCCAGGCCGGCGTTCCGCTCCCAAGGCGCGGTCCACAGGCCGGCAGCAGACCGCTGTTCCCTCCTCTGTGGTTTCCAGGGCTGGCCCGACCGGGCCTCTGCTAAGGTGACTGCGGCTCTCCAGGCTGGGAGGGGAGCGCAGGGGGCCAGGGAGCCACAGGGAATGCCTGAGGAGGACAGGGGGCGGTCAGGAACTGCCCACGCGTGACCCCCCGGCTCCCATCTGCTCTGATCGTACCCAGCTGCTCTGGGAGCAGAGCCACCTCCTGTCCCACGCCGTCCTGGACAAGGCGGGTCGGTGGAAAGGACAGCGCATGGTCACCGGAGCAGCGGCCTCGTCCTGGGAGCCCCAGCAGGACCCCCAACCCGCAGCCCCGGGCCACTGTCCAGAGCGCTCGGTGCAGAGCCGGGGTGCACGAGCCCCCGGAGGCTGCACAACACGCCGCGGGCGCCGGGTGAGGGCGGGGTGCCCCGAGGTACGCAGGGCGGCAGAGGCTGTCGGGCGGTGGGCGAGCCGGGGGGTCGGTGGGGGAGCAGGGGGCTGGGGGCTGGGCTCCGCAGAGCGCTGTCTTTGAGGGGAGTCGAGCCGCATCCCTCTGGCGCCCGGACCAGACCTGGGCTTTCCGCCCGAGCAGAGCAGGAGGCTAAAAGTGCTGCTAGCTGGGGGGCACCGGGAGCGCTTGTGCGCGCGAGGATGTGGGCGGGCCACAGGCGTGGTGGGCGGGGCCTAGGTCTGAGCCTGGCTAGGGGCGTGGCCACGGGCGAGGCTGAGCTCTCCGTGAGGTGGCGCGGTGGGGGCGTGGCCGTGGATCTGTGGGCGTGGCCTGCGGTGCTGGGATTCCGGCAGGGGTCCGCGCGGCGGGGGCGTGGCCAAGGCACTCTAGGGGCGGGGACTAAGGTGCTGGATTCCGGCGGGGGTCTGCGGGGCGGGGCTAGGGGCGGAGCCGGGACGAGAGTTTGGGGCCCGGCGAGCTTTGCTCCCGGTGCGCGCTTGTGTACGGCGGACGGCCCGTTAGACGCGGGCGGGAAGCGGGACCCTCGCGGGCCATGGTGCACGCGGCGGCTCCGAGCCGCCTGTGAGCGACGCTAAGACCCAGCTGGGACTTGGGCGCACGATGCTCTTCCCGGCGGGATGCGCGGGGGCCATGGCGTGGCTGCTGCTCCTGGTGCTCGCTGCGCCCACCGCCGCCGGGCCGTGGGACCCGCTCCCGCTGCAGCCTAGCATGTGAGTCGGGGACCCCCGCCACGCCGACTTTGTCCCGGGGCCAGAACAATGCGCTCATAGCCCGGTGGGGGAGCGGTTGGGACCAGGATCCCTGCATTCTGCTCGGCAGGTTCCAGATCCGAGGGCGAGGACTCCGTCCTTGCCAAGCAGGGCGGACCGGGGTGGGGGTGGGATAGCAGTCCGCATGCCTTCCACTCTGTATGAATAGGTCCAGGGCTGCAGGACGCGTGTGTGAGACTATGTGCGTGCGTGCGTGTGTGTGTGTGTGTGTGCGCGCGCGCGCGTGGCAGGCGGCCGTGAGCTCTTCGTGTGTTCGACACGTGCGCGCCGCGCTGCTAAAGGAGTTCGGACCGGGACCGGGACCAGTAGGAAGAGAGAGTCAGGGAGCTGCGAGATGCATCTAAGTTTGAAAGCTGATTCCCCTGCCGGCAGTTAGGGTTTTGATCCGCGCCGGCCTCAAGGGAAACTGGCGGGAGGTGGAGGAGGGGCGGGAGCGCTTCCCGCAGGACGCCAGGCTGCAGCCCCTGCAGAGGCGTGGTGAGCGCCTGCGGGGGGGCCTCCCGTGGACCCCCGAGTGCCCTTTCAGCAGCACTTCTCTTCCCAGGCTCCTCCAGTCCAGCCTGGCTTCCGCTAAGGACCTAGCTGCATACCTGGCTGTGGAGGGCCGAGCCTGGGGACCAGCAGGACAGGCCCTCCCACTGGGGGAAGTGGTCGGGCTTGCTCTGATCTCTGTGACCTTCTGGGTTGGGGCCTTTCATCCAGGGATGTGCGTGGCTCAGTCTCCCGCTAGGGGATCAGTGCTTGACATCCCACCTTCCTGTGACCCCAGCGTTGTCCAGGAGCCGGGGCCCCAGAAGGGATTAGCATGGTGTCTAGACAGGGCTTCCTGGAGTTCCAGGTCTGGTCTGGGGAGACATTGCTGCTCTCTGAGTCCCTGGTACTTGAGTGGATGCCCTTCCGGGCCCCTCCACCATCCTCCCCGTCTTGCTGATCTCAGAGTGCTGCCTGGGGTCTGTCCTGTTTCCAGCCTGTTCGGCTTAACTCAAGGAACCATTCAGCCAACAGTTGAGGTCTTTTTCCCTCCTGGCACTGTTCCTCCCTCCCTCCCCTGGCTCTCCCTGCTCTTCAGATCCCTGCTGCTCCTCGGTGTCCCTGCCCTGCAGGGTTGGCTGCTGTCTGTTTCCTGGCTTTCGGCAGGTGCCCACGAGGCCTTGAAAGTGGTCTGAGTCTGGTGGCCCCGCTGTGTCTTGACATCTGTGGGTACCTGGCATGTGGTAGGGCTCCAGGGCCCCTGCTGGCTGGGCCAGTGAGGGGAATGCAACAGAAAGACAAAGGGGCTGCCCAGGCAGAAGGAGTACAGCTGTAGCTGGGGGCTTCAGAAGGTCTAGGTTCTCCTTGCTCCCCTCAGCCAGCCCAGAGCAGCAGGGAAGGAGGCTGGCTTCCTTCAGCAGTGGTCCCAGAATGCACCCAGTCTTAGCTGATCCTGTCTCCCTGACCCTGGAGAGATCTGCTGAGCCAGCCGGGCCTGGCACGGGCAGCTGCGGCCCCTCTGGCTGGTTTTCCTGAACTGTGAGCTTCTGAGTTTAAGCAAACCCAGGCCTCCTACTCAGGGTGTAGTGCCAGAGGTCATGGACCTTGCAGATCTGCTGGAGGGTGTGGATGGTTCTCTGGCTCCTGCTGACCACGCAGGCCAGTTCTGTACCATTCCGGGAGTGGGCAGAGCTTATCTTTATCCTTGTTTAGCCTCTGAGCGGAGTCCTTCAGCCTCGGGGTGATGGTTTGCCTGTCTTTCCTGGTGCCTGCAAGGATGGTTGACTACACCCAGAGCTGGCAGAGCTGCCTGCGAGCTCCGGAATGGAGAAGCAGACTGACCACGGGCTGAAGGGCAGGCCACCGGCACTGGCAGGCTTAGATCAGCTGTGGAAGCAGCTCCTGTGCTCCACAGGGCCAGTCTTCTGCCCTCTCTGGAGGGGCTTTGAGTCAGCCAGTTACATGGTAGCCTCTCGCCCAGGGTGACAGGGCCGCTGCAAGTCTGGTCTTGTTTTCTCTCTGTCCCTAGGCTGAGGGCTCACATGGCCACGTTCCCTGCCCCCTTGCCCGGCCCCTGGAGGGTGTTGGGAAGCTTGACTATTCTTTCGATGCTGTCAGCTGCTCCCAGCTTCCCCTTGGGGGGGCAGCAGTGCAGCGGTTGGGGAGGGGACCTAGAGAAGGGGCTTACACTGCTTACCAGTGGCTTCGTGTGTGACACTGCACGTGTGTGACCTGGCACTTGGTCATCTCCTGCTATGGGAGGCTCCTGGCCTGCAGGTTCATGGCATCCTGGGAGCGCATCAGGAGCTGGCCCATCCACCCAGAACCTCCGCTTTCCTGCACATGTGCTGCACTTAGGATTACACGCGTGTTTGGAGGCAAGGTGTGGGCCCCACCCCACCCCACCCCACCCCGGGTGACCCTCAATGTGGCTACCTCCCCACGCAGCAGCTGTGAAGGTCCCTGGGGCTCGAGGACAAGGCCCTCCGGGGGAGCAGCCCCATTTTCTGCTGCACTCTGACCTCGAGAGTGCCTGTGGCTGAACCCCTGCCTAGCACGGTCTGCCATGCAGCCCCTCTCCCCTGAGACAAACGACTCTGTGCTTCCCTCAGGCCCTGACTCCGGATTCTCTGAGGGTCAGCAGGAGGGAGCTGCAGGGACCCTTGGGCAGGGGACCATACCAGGAGCCAGGCCAGCACGACCTTATCAGCAGCACTCAACCCTGGGTGCAGGAGCTGAGTAGGGCTCAGAGAGGGTCAGGAACTGTCTGCAGGCTGCATAGGAGGCCTGTCTTACATTCTTGGTGCTGAGACAAAATACCTGACACCCAAAGTTCAAGGAGGAAAGGTTTATTTGGCTCAAAGTTTGTGGCAGTTTCAGGACATAGTCCGCTGGCTCCAGGGCAGGGTGGTGTGGCAGAGGGGAGACAGCTCATGAGTGGAAGGCAACAAAGTGGCACGGGGCTACAAGCGTTCCCCATCTGTCGTGTTGTATCCAGGCTACTCAGGGTGGGCAGCACTCACACCTTCCATCCAGATGCCCCGAGCCCGGTGTGGCACCATGAGCCAATCACACATTCTGGATTCACCACCTTTGAACGCTGCCCCCATGACGCATGAGGCTTTGGGGGTCATCCAGACACAGCCATCACAAGGCCACAGGCTGCCCTCCTTGGTGTCCTTTGTCTCAGGCTGGGCCGGAAGCCCTCTCTCTCTGCCCCTCCGAAGGCTGAGTGCAGAGAGAGTGGGGCGCAAGCACTGGGCAAACCTGGTGGGGTGTGGGTGTCTCGTGGGGGCCCCTCTGCTGGTTCACACCTCCTGGGTTCGGGGATATGGAACAGGGATGCATGGGCCTTGGGTTTCATCTCTGGGAGGTGCCCTGTTCGCTGCCCAAGCACCGCATGTGCCCAAGGGTGCCAGGAGGATGTGGGAATGGGGCAAGAGGGCAGAGTGGAAAGGGCAGAAGCCTGGAGCTCCCAAGTGCTGCCTGGGCCCCCTGTGGTGCCCATCCATCACCTCATCTGTCCATTTGTCTGCCCATCTGCTCATCCAAGGCTGTGGCGATTCCCTCCATGCGGGGCCGTGAGGGATCAGATCAACACTGTGGATAGCACCTGGCCCCGTGTGGGGGATGCTGGGCCTCTGTTCCCCCTCCAACTTCCCCAGCCTCCAGTCTGGGCTGGAGTCCTGCAGGCATCTGCAGAGGAGGTGGACCCCAGGACAGGCCTGCAGGGGGATGGGTGTCTGTCTTCTGGCTGAGGTGCTGACCATCCTGTCCTCTGTCCCAGGCCCCACGTGTGTGCGGAGCAGGAGCTGACCCTGGTGGGCCGCCGCCAACCCTGCGTGCAGGCCTTTAGCCGCGTGGTGCCCGTGTGGGAGCCGGGCTGCGGGCAGCAGGTGTGGTGCCTTGGCCACCAACGCAGGTATGTGAGGGGTGGGCGTGGACACCGGGCCCTTTCAGCTCAGCCAGGTGGGGATGGGGGTGGGTAGGGGCCCTGTGGGAGCAACGCTGGGCACACAAGAGGTTTCGGGCTGGACATGGCAGCGCCTGACCCAGGCCTCGTGCCCAGGTCCCCGTGAGGCCTTTTATTGCTCAATGTTTTATTTCAAAACTGGACCTGCGGGGCCCCTCACATACCTCCCCGCTTTCCTGAGCTGTGCTCTGCAGAATCTGTGCCTGCAGCTGGGACTGGGGTGTGGACTCTGTGGAGGCGGTGGGGGCAACTGGCCTGCTGTGGAGCGGGGGAGGAGGAGCCCAGTTCAGTGGTCCGAGATTGCTTGAAGGATCAGGTGTGCCTGGACTCGAATCTTGGTGTGGGAAGACAAAGACTCAACCCCCCACCCCACCCCGCACCTTTTACATGCATGTGATGTCTGGGAATTTGATCCTGGAAGATGCTTCTCGCTGGCTGTGAATCACAGCACACAGGAGGCTGAGGCAGAAGGATTGCTGAAAACCTGCGTTCTGGGTGGGCCCTGTGGCCCTCTCAGCTGCTCAGGACTCTCTCTGTGTGGCTGTTCTGCCTGGGGCCCCGAGGAACAGCTTGGGAGCTGGCTGGGGTGTGGCTCTGGTGGCTGGCTCTGGGCTGTGACCCCCACCCCATGCGGGGTGAGACCCAGCCCTTCAACTTCCTGGTGCCCATGGAGGAGGCCACATCCTGGGGGCCCCACAGGAGGCAGCAACAGTGGCTGTGGTGCTCTTGCCGGCCAGGCTCTGTGGGCTCAGTGTACCATGGTGTCGCCAGGCCTGGTCCCTGGCTCCACACCAGCTGCCTAGAGGCTCCAAACCTCGGCCTTTAGCTCTGGACCTTGAGCCTTGAAGTGGGCAGACAGCACCTGGCCTCGGTGGAGGCCGGTGGGCTTCTGTGTGAAGGTGTACGAGGGTTCCCTCACTCCCGGGAGGCAGCCATTACGCTGTCTTAAATGTGAAGAACTTGAGACCCAGGTTCAGTGGCTCTGGCCACTCAGGCAGTGAGTCCTAGGCCTGAACACTGGTGGTGAGGCACAGAACCTCTGCTGAAGTCCTGCTGACTCTTCAAAACCCTGCTCAAATATGTCTCCTCTGCAGCCTTCCTCCACCTCCAGGATCCTGCCAATGCTTGGTGTCCCTGGCTGGGCAGTGTCTCCGCTGTGAGCAGTGGGCACCTGGCCTCATGATCTGGCTTCTGCCCTGAGCTCTGAACCTAGGGCCTTGCTGATTTTTACTTTGAATCAAGTTCTCCCTAAGTTGCCATGCTGGGCTGGAACTTGTGATGCTCCTGCCTCAGCCTCCCAGAGTGCTGGGGTCACAGGCTCACCTAGCTTTTTCTTTCTTAAGGGTTCATCTGTGCAGCCAGGACTCTGGCTGGCTGTGCAGCAGCCAAGCTCCCCATGCTGCACCCCACCTCACTCCAGCTCAGGCTTCTCTCCCCCGCTCCCCACCCCAGCAGAAAAGGGGACACCTCCTCCCACACTCTGTGGGGATGGCTGGCTAGGCCTGGGGACATAGGATGGTGTGGTCAGGGATTGTGAGGAGGACAATTAGAATCAGGACACAGAATTTATAATATTATATTATGATATAATATCATATATATATGTCATAACCCAGAGTTAAACACAGAAAGTGCAGGAAATCTGTCCACAACACTGAATATTCAGCCAGAATATTTAGCCAAGGGCCTGGATCCCACAGCAATGTCCTACATGAGTCCAGATGAAAACCTAGAGCCCATGACAGTGCCTCTCACGAGTCCAACTGGAGGTGTAGAGCCCACGAGAAGGACTCACACCAGTCTCTTTTATGGATGCGTGCCGGGAAGGCCCAGAGGTCAGTAGTGGAAGCCAGAAAGTCTATGCCAGAGGGGTGAGGAGCTGTGCTGGTGGAATGAGGGTTCTACACTACAGCCAAGAAGTCACATAATAAAGACCAGGGCTGAAAAGCAGCCTGAAAAGCACCACAGCCATTAAACAACACACGTCTTCCCCTCCAGAGCCAGGAAGCAGTGCTCAGTGTAAGGACCAGAGCTCCCCTAAAGTGAACCACAGCCACTCTCACCAACAAGGTCCTGCGCTGCTCTGATGACAATGGTCGAGCTCTCCTGGGGAAGCTAGTCATGACGAGCTCTTCCAGGAAAACCAGCGGCTCAAACAGCAACACTTAGAGAAACCCACAACACCTTGCTTCTCCTTCTCCACGTCTCTATGCTGGTACCTTTCCTTAGGTGGATCGTCTACGCTCAGCACCGTGCTGATTTAATTTAGCTGGCATTAAGTTGACCACCACTTTTTAACCATAGCAGGACGGAGGCCAGGCCCAGGCCCTTGCAGGGGAGCTGTGGCCCGGTTGATACTGGTGCAATCCTCAATTTTCCACTGGGCTGCGCTGGGGTGAGGACCGAGGAATGGCAGGTGCTGGGGGTGGTGGCTGTGTGCCTCCCTGTCTGCTTCTGCTTCCAGCCTGCAGGGCTGGCGGGGTGATAGTGGGTGGCGGGCCTGTCCTCTGTCCTCCATCTCCCAGCAAGCACCAGAGGCAGCCCAGCTCTCTGTGGAGCTCTCGACGGCCCGGGGCATGGGATCACCCTGATTGCGGGCTTCAGAAGAGGAAGGGAGGCAGCTCCAGACCCTGGAGCCTGTGACCCCGTATAGCACTGCGGTGAACCCACAGCGCGGCCTGGGTAGCATCGTCCCATGGGTCCCCACCTGTACGGGGCCCCTGGTGCTGGAGCCACATATGCTGGCGCTGGCCGTGGGGAACCGGGTCAGATCTCCAGGGCCAGCGGCCCACGCCAAGGTCTTTTCCATAGGAGTGGTGGCCTGGGAGCCGCACGTAGGTTGTGACCCCGCAGCCAGGTTGGGGATAAATATTTACAGTGGACGGGCCTAGGCGGTGCAGGCCTTGCTGGATCTTGTTCCTGCTGCTCCGGTTTCTGTCCGGGCCGGTGGTTTCATGTCCTGCCAAGGCCCTGAGAGGTGCTCCGGAATGCCTTGTGCAATGTGCGAGTCTGAGCACAGGCTCAGGGGACACAACTACTGTTGTGTTTTGGGGCCAGGCTGCTTACCACACACCGGATACAACAAGTTCAGGGTGAGCCCAGGCCACCACCACGCCCTGGGCTCAAGAGCTCTTGATCTAGGACCGTTGGCCGGGCCCTGGTCACTGTTTCCATGGGTGGCAACAGGGCTTCGGGGGTCAGAGGGGGGGGTCATCTGTCTCCCCTGGTACTCACTCTGTGCTCTCTGACAGTGGGGGGTGGGAAGTGGCTAAGGAGCTATTCCTGGTCGGGAGCCCAAGTCTCGTATCCTTGCGCGCAGGGTTGGCTCTTCCTAGACGCTCAGGGCCACTGGTCCTGGTCCTGGTCCTGGCTCTGGGTGCTGCTGACCGTGGCCATCCTCATGGCCCTGCCTTGGGGACACATCACCCCACCTCTGCCTGGGTCCCCATGCGCCTTCCCCCTGCCTGTCTGTGAGGGCTCCCGCTGTTGCCCAGCTGCTGTCCGCACCTGCCTTTGCTGCAGGTCAAGCTCAGGCCTTGTCTCCATGTCAGGCCCTGTTTTAGGAGACCTGAGTTTGGGGACACTGCTCCACCCAGTCCAAGCCAGGAGGGGTGAGGGCCCTGGACTGGACAGAGCCGGTGGCCATCTTTCTCCCCAGGAGGGAGACTGGTGGTCAGGGATGGCAAGGACAGGGTCACTGGAGGGAAGCAGGCCCTGGGCTGGGGGATCCCCACAGGAGCAGGAAGGGAGTGTTGCAGCAGGGCAGAGACCCTTCCTTGTATGTGCTGGGGGTGCCTGCTCCTGTGGGGCCCAGGAGGCCAGGGTCTGGCTGGACACTGGAACCACGCAGACCCGGCCACCCACTGCCTGAGACATGCCTGAGCTGGCGCTGACAGGCCCATTGACTCAGCGTGAAGCAGGGGCCACTGTGGGGGACGCTGGCAGGGGCAGTGGGGCGGCACAATCTGTCCCTGGGGACCAACTTGGCGAGGAGCCTGGGCACTGCTCCTGCAATGGCCAATGCCCTCTCCCTTCTCTTCCAGAACCATCTACTACACCGGCTTCCGGCAGGTATACGCTGTGGAGGCCCGAACTGTGCTCAGGTGCTGCTCGGGGTGGAGCCGGCTGCCGGGCCGGGAGGGCTGCCTGTCCGGTGAGTGCCCTTGGGGATGCCTCCTCTGCCCAGGCCAGGCCGGCACAGGAAGGAGGGGCCCTGCTGGTCACAGGGACTTGCAGTCCAGGGCCTCAATTGTTACATCCTGGCCAGTGGCTCTTTGGCCTCTCTTGGTGACCAGAGGGGTTGGTGGCTATGTGGCCTGGGCTGTAGGCTTCTGTCCTGCTGTGTGCTCTGGGGCAGTTGGGAGGGCAGGTGACGTCAGCCCCAGGTCGTGAGGTGCCTGGGAGTCATGAACTCCCTCCCCCCAGTTTCCCTTCCTGGGGACCAAGCTGCTCACCCTGGGGTGAACTTCAGAAGCAAGACAGGATGCTGCTTCTCCAGGAAGGACAGAAGTCGTCTCTCCAGGAAGGAACGAGGGAGTAGGAAGGGGACTGCTCAGGGGGAGCGGCTGGGGCCCCGCCAGGCTTTGGGGGGGTCCTGGCCTGCAGTGGCCAGCTCCCCCCTTCATGGCTCTCTGCTCACCCACCCCCGCTTCTCTGTTCCTGGCATCCGGAAGGAACAAAGGGGTCTGCTGGGGGTGGGGGACATCAAAGCCGGGTTCTGGTCCCCTGGGCTTCTGCTCAGAGCCAGCGATGGCTCAGTAATGGGCTGAAACAGTTGGGGGGCCCCAGAGCAGGATAGGACAGGAAGTGGGGCCGACAGCCTGCACCCTGGGGTTCTCAGGGGAATGGGGAGTGGAGAGCGTCCTGGGCGTGGAGTCTTGTGTCGGAGGAGGGGCCATGTGCCTGGCAAGGCAGAGGTGTGCAGGACTGTGTCCAGCCATGAGTATCTGTCCCAAGCCTGGCCTAGGACTAGTGGCTGCTCAGGGTTGGGATGGACAGGATGGAACATGCGTTCATGCATTCATGCAAGTGTGCGTGCGTGCATGTGTGCGTGCGTGCGTGCGTGCGTGTGTGTGTGTGTGTGTGTGTGTGTGTGTGTGTGGTGTGTTTTTCCCTGGCGTGGCAGAGCTGAGGCTTGGATGCTGATGTCAGGATCAGGTGGCTCCTGTGGCCCATGGTGGGGGGTCGTGGGAACAGCCAGCTCAGGAAGGTCACCAGGGCTGGACCCTCCCTGGACGCTTGGCCTGGGTCTGGAACAGTGGGCAGGGCGATGGGGGTGGGGGTCTCAGGTGGTCACATGCGACGCGGCAGGCTCCTGGCCTGGGCTTTGGGTTTTCTAGGTTGTTTGTGTTTGGAAATTCATTTCTGGTGCAGCAGTGACGGGCTGACACGTCTCTCTCCTGTTTGCTTGCATGTGCGATCCCAGCCTGGCCCGGGATCCGTGTCTGCAGACGCTCCTGTTTCCTGCAGGGTCCGCGCCCCCGGTGTGCGGGGTGGGGGCCTGGCACTGGCCCTTCCCTGGGGTCTGCAGGCCCTGCTGCTGTGTTCCAGGGTGACTGATACTTCCTTCTGGTTTTCTTCTGTTACTTGGGGTTGCACCCAAGGCCTTAACTCTTTTAAGTTGCCACAGAGGCCTGGGTGGGAAGAATGGGTCCAGGCAGGGACCCAGGCCAGGGCTCAGTCCCTCATCCCTGTGGGGGGTGGCTTGTGTTGCAGGTGTGGTGCCGACCCCTTGAAGCTGCAGAGGAGCTGGGCATCTTTGTGGGCATGGTGTGGTCCACCCACTGTGCCCCCGAGTCTCGTGACTCCTATCCCCCCTCCCCAGGTGACCGTGGTGGTAGCACAAACAGGGATAGCAAACCTTTAGGTCACAGCATTGCTTGGCCAAGGACTCAGGTAACCCCGGGGGCTAAGTCTGCACAGAGCCCCTGCCCTATGTGTCTCCCTCTCAATGGGGCCTGGGCAGTTCTGGGTCAGAGCAGGCCCCTGACTTGCTGGGGTTGTCGCTGGGTCCCCCAGGGCCTGGTGTCCATGGCCCCAGGCAGCTCTGGTCTACAGGGGTCAGGTGACAACGTGAGTGACTGCCCATGGTCCCCTGTGGCCATCATGCCAAGCTCTCCTGCAGCCCTGCCTGTTTGCAGAGGACCCTGAGAGGCGCTGGCTTCTCAGGCAGGGGTGCTGGGCAAGGAACCCCCCCTCGCACCGCACCCTCCTCATTTCCCCTGGGGCTGCAGACAGCGCCCTTCCCTAGCCTTTGTGAAGTTTCCTTCTCTTGACCTGGGAGGACGGGGCTGTGAGGGTGGGCGTGGGTGGCGAGGAGGACGGGGCGAGAGGGTGGGCATTGGCGCCCACGGTGTTTTCTGAGGCAGGGAGGGAGAGAATGCCCGGAAGCCTCTAATCGGTGCTGTTTCTCTCAGGCCCTCGAGGTGACAGAAAGAAAAATTGCTGGGCCTGAGGACCGATGACCGGTTCGCAGCGGCCTGTGTGGGTGGCTCTGTGACCTGGGCGCGGTGGGGCTGCTCAGGTCGCTCTGAGTTCCGATGTTGTCCCTGCTGGGTCCTGGCAGACTGGAGCCCCTTGTTGAAGGAGGGGGTGTGCTGAGCAGCTGGCCCTTCTGCACACAGTTCTGGGGCTTCTTCCTAGCTGCATGTGGCTTGGGCTCAGGCCTTGGGGACGCAGGAGGCCCAGATGGAGAGGTGGCCTGAAGGGGTATCAGGAGCCACCTTAGTTCTCTGAGGTTCACTTGTCTCTTTGTAAAGTGGAGATACTGTTACGTAGATTTCAGTTTTTTGCAGGACTTCTCAGTGCTTTTAATATGCTGTTGTGTGCAGGGGATTCTTGAGAGAGACTAGAGACAGATAGTTCTTTAGGAAGAGCCCCTGGAGTGTCTTCCTAAAGAAAGAGAAAGAAGCCCGGGGTAGCAATCCAGTCTGCTGGTGCAGGGACCAGTCCCTTCCTGTGATGGGACACTGCTGAGACCGAGAGGCAGAGGGCTGGAGGCAGCTGGCTTGGTCGGAGCTCAGGGCAGGCTGTGTCTTGTGACAGCCACAAGTGACCATGGTGGGCATCTCAGAGCAGCCACAGTTCTCACTTGTGGCTGTGGTCCCCAGGTGGTGATCCAGCAGTGCCCCTGGCTCCTGGTGTGCCCAGGCCTCGTGGCCCCCTCCCCTGCGTCCTGTGAGGGCTGGAGGGCGGGGCCGGCCGGAGAGGCCACAGGAAGGCTGCGGGACACCAGACCGCCCTCTGCTTTCCTGCCCTGCCGTCCACACTTCCCTTTCCGTCCTGACCGCACACCAGCCCCGCAGCCCAGTGTGGGAATTGGCCAGGCTGAGGCCGGGCCTGAGCTTCCCTGGCCGACATCCTGCTGTGACCTCTTCTCTGTCTGTCTGTCCCAGTGCTGAGTTGATCCAGCTCCCCGGGCCCAGCGCCCAGGTACGGTTAGCACACGAGCGACCGGGCTGCAGCTTCTGACGGGCTTGCCCGGCATCACCCTGCCGCATCTACCTGTGTACTGTGTTCCCCGGGCAACAGCACATGGGGCCAAGCCAGCAGTCATTGGTCAGTTTAGTTCTCATGCCTGGAGGGCCTGGGGTGCAGGGGTGCCAAGGCAGAACCTTCTGGAAGGTTCTGGGAGCTGTCGCCTCAGTTCTGGCCTCCTCACTGGCTGCGGGAGGGACATGGGGTAGACATGGCCTGCTGGGTCTGGCTGCACCCTGTGACCCCCAGCCCCTCCCTGGCTGGCTGGGGAAGCAGGGTCTCCAGCTGTCACTTGGCTTTCCTGGCAGCGTGTAGGGCTGGGCGTCCCTGGTATCAGTCAGGAGCACCCAGGCCGCATCTGACTCAAGGCTGTTCCCCAGCCTCATGCCCCAAAGCCCCTGCCACTGGGTCACCCATTCTGCAGTAGCCCTGACCAGTGTCGCCCGAGAAGACCATGCTGTTGGTGGGAGTCCCCTGAGGACCAGCCTGCGGGTGTCCCTGGAGGTCACCCTGGGGGTCAGTCTGGATGGTCTGAGCCTAGGCCACGCTGGGAGCTTTGTGGATAATCTTATCTGGCACTGACACCCCCTGTAGGGTTTAGTACTGGGTGCATCCCGAGTGACAGATGGGGAGCTCAGACCCAGGAGGAAGAGGCTGCACCAGGAGGGCTGCTTCTCAAAGGTGGGTTGGGGAGACAGGTATACAAACACCCACGGGTCGTGGCCCCAGTCTGCTGTCCTGGGGTCAGGAGGGATAGAAGTGCTAGGATGGGGACAAGGGACCCGTGAGGGCTGTGCAGGACACAGGTCCAGGAAGGCGGAGGTGGTGTACATGCCCTGGGGGGTGTGGGAGTGGGGCTGGGCCAGGAGTTCTGGAAGTCTGAACCGGGCGTGGTGGGGTCCTCGTGGCCAGGGTGCATGTGGGCAGCCTGGCCTTCTGCCCTCTGACAGGGCAGAGGCGTCGGGCCAGGCTTCTGGGCTCGATTGCTGACTGCCAGGGGCGGCTGTTGGGACTGGAGGTCTGGGGACAAAGGAAACTCCTTCCTGGCTAAGCGTAAACACAGCTGGCTGCACTTTCTGGGTCAGGCGTAGAGCCCGTGTCTTCCTGCCGCTTGGCCCAGGAACTTTGAGGGTTGCCTTGAGCTCCCGCCCCCTTCCCCAGCCCCCACCCTGTCCCGCACGGGTCTCTGCTCAGGCTGCAGGTGTCCTGGGTGGGAGGCTGAGTGAGGCCAGGTGTGAGGGGGCGGCTTGCAGGAAGGTCCCCGGACCACACCTCGGCTGTGATTGCGTGGGGACAGGATGGGGATGCCTCCATGGAGGCCATGCGTGTCTGTGCCGCCTGCCTGACCCTCGGCCTGGCGGAGTCTGGCTCAGGCTGGGTTACAGCAGCTGCTATGTGACCCGAGTCACCCGCTGGGCATCTCAGCAAGGACAGCACCTGCTGCAGAGAGAGCCCTGCTGGGCTCACCGGGTGGGAGCAAGAGGGTCAGGTGGGGGGACACAGGGGTGGCTGCTCAGGCTTGGCTGTGCCCCAGAACCTCAGGGATCCTCACCTGGCGCAGTGTGGCCCTCTCCCATGAACAGAGTCCCCCTGGTAGGTGGCAGGGGGTGGCTGAGTCACCGTGGGCATCCCCCGGGGAGGCAGGCGCATGGCCTGCTGTCCCACACAGGGATGTGA